GCAGCGGAGAAGTTGTCTATCTCTTGGGAGGGGATGCACCGGGGATATTTGAACTGGATAGGGTTACTGGTGTCCTCACAGTCATTACATCGCTAGACCGCGAAGAGAAGGAGACGTATCGTTTCATTGTGAGGGCACTGGACCAGGGAACACCCAGAAGGGAGTCTATAGCAACTGTCCTTCTCACTGTGCAAGATCGCAATGACAACAGCCCTCGTTTTATCAACAAAGATTTCACCTTCTTCGTTCCGGAGAATTTCCCCGGATACGGCGAGATCGGAGTGCTTTCGGTCAGAGATGCCGACGCGGGTGAGAACGGTTGGGTCGCGTTGTCGATTTTGAATGGCACTGATATTTTTATGATCGATACCGGTCGTGGTATACTGAGAGCCAAAACGTCACTTGACAGAGAACAACAAGGAACCTATCAACTGTGGATCGAAGCTGTGGATGGGGGCGAACCAGCGTTGTCTTCTGTTACTATGGTGACGGTTTTACTGTTGGATGTAAATGACAATCCACCCATCGTCCTTTTCCCGCAGTCAAACTTGTCGTATATGCTCGTCCTTCCCAGCACATTGCCCGGGACGTCTATTACGGAAGTTTACGCGGTGGATAAGGATACGGGCATGAACGCTGTGATAGCTTACAGCATTATCAAACGAAAAGGTGGTGAACCAGGATCCTTCACCATCGATGCCCAAACTGGAAATATCACTCTAAAACGCGAACTGAGCAACCGTGGTTTGTGCAGTCTACTGGTTAAAGTTAGCGATCACGGACAGCCAGAGCCACTCTACTCGACAGTCATGGTAAACTTTTTTGTGAATGAAACTGTAAGCAATGAGAGCTACATTCACAGCTTGCTAACCAGGGAGGCGGACATAGAAGTCGAGGAAAAACCCTGGTTTATTGGTCAAATGAAGGACGGACCGGAGAGATATGAGCTGTTTCCTTGTCAGCCAGTTCTCATTGCGCTCTCGGCAACCTGCCTAGGGCTGTTTCTTCTTGTGGTGATGCTAACGTCGTATATTTGTTGTAAAAGGTTTAAAAGACATCGGAAGAAGAGAAAAACAGAGACTGAAATACCGTTAAAAATGACTCATGAATCGGTGCACGTTGCGAACAGAAAAATCAGACAAATTTCAAATCTCTGATGTTAGCCCATGTCACAGATCATCACCGCTGTTTACAAGAATGTTTACAAAACTCAATGTACAAAGTGTATTTTTTCAAATGACTGCATTTGCTCTTGGTGATACAGTTATTATTGTAAGAGATTCTCAAGCATTGTGCTTCAAATCATCATTTTTACAAGTTTGTGTTATATGGATTATTTTATATATACAACCAACCAGTGAAATGATTTCTATTGGCTTCAATTCAATTGTCTATGTTGCCTATAAAACAATTATATTTGAAGATAATATTAGAGCAGGGGTACCTAACGTTCAATCCACACAAAATAATGTTTTGAAATCCATCCGACTATTGTCTTGCTCTCAACTCAATTTGATTCCATCCCTAGTTTTCATTTGTCCTCAAAATAGAATGTTTCTATTAAGATGAGATAAAGACAGTGTGGTGTGGTCTTATTCTCTTTTGACTCTTTCTGTTGAGACATTATTATTTATGAGAGAAAAAAAGTTAGGCTCCTCAACTTTAAGGAACTTGTAAAAATGAAGCTACACATTTTAGAGCATATATTATATTTATTTATTTTTTATGACTATTATTTTTTGCCTTATACTGTATGTCTCTTGGTCCGTAACTGGCTATTTTCCCAGTCTGGGATGTGTGCTCATAAAATAAGGATAGTAGTGATAATAACTGTTTTTTAAAGACAAACTGCAAACATGTACAGACTATGGAGTTTAATGTAAATAACGTACAAACTATTTTACAACTTTATATACAACTTTTTTTCATTTGCACGAGAGGTATAAGACATTTCAACACACTATTTCATCCTTAACTACAACACCCTGCCATAGATAAACATTCAGATTCCAGGACATAACCTGCTACCTTAATGTACATTACAACGATCGCTCAGGATGTTAGCAAATACAGTCAGACCAGAGATAAATTACCCATGATCCTATGTGAGAGCTCACAAAGTACAGCCTATTGTTACTGTGTCATTAGTGGGATTGTGAAAAGATAACTATGCACAAGATACCTCTGCAAATGATTTAGTCAGCGCTTCTTTGGCGACTTCCTGAATGTAATGGAAAAACTCACTCTTCCAGAGGTCCATTTGCGTGAGTTAGAGGGAGTTGTTTTGTCAATAATGTGTTTGACGTCCCTCGCCCCATTGTTAGTAAACAGATCTCCTGCTTTCTCTCTGTGGACACTTAAGAATAGAAATTAGCCACCTCTAACGCCACGAAACCATCTCACAAAGCGACGCCCGGACTCGTATTGTTAGAAGTTATGAGCCCTTTTGTAAGATCGTACAACTGTTGATGTGTCTGTGACAGGTGCTCAGTGTTTGTGAAGGAAAATCAAAGTAACTATTAAAGATATTCTATTTTTATAATACACTGGATTCTATTGTATACATATGTGTTAATTTATTGTGTCTAAATGTTCAACGTTTTCTATGTTTTTGCTGATTCTATTGTTAGAATATAGATTTGATGAAGAAAACAACCTTCAAAAAAGGCTGGTGATAAATCAGAGGAAACATACACTGAAGAAAGTGAAATATTGCTGCTGTATCTTTGTTTATGGTTTAAGTAAAGATAAACAAATTGATCTGTCCAGTTGAAAAAATATTAATTTAATACTGTGACAACTATATACTGTACTTAATATACGGTATTGTCAATTTGAACATATAAGATTGAGATTTAAGTGATTTCTACAACATTTTAATATTCCAGCCAAAAGGAAATCTGTTTTTATTTTTATTGGTTTTAACACACCTATTGGCTAGGTAACACACCAGCAAGCACGACAAATGTTATTTTGATCTATATACCAAAAAATACTTTATTTTAACAAAGAGATATTATGCATTTGTTTTTGGCCAATATAAAATAATAATGAGACTATTTACAAGGCAAAATAATATGTTTAGAAAAAAATAGATCATGCAATAGGTCATGCAAGTAAGGGTCAAAATACTTTCGGCCTGTAACTCCCTATGTTACCACCAGAGGGGGCTGAATTTGTTTTGCCATTTTCAAAAATGGAAAATTACTAGCTACAAACACAGCCATTTGTTTAAGAAAGTGAATTGAATTGTATTTATTTGATCCTGGACCATGCACACTAAACAGTCTTATAAAAAGAAAATATGGAATTTGCCAGGTTTTAGCAAACATCAGGTGGATATATGTATGTGAGTTTTATGTCTTAGTACAATGGCATCCCACAATTACAGGACTGACGCAAGAGCTTTTAGACAGAAGAGGGTGAGTTTAAGGTTTGCTGTGACGTTTGAGTTGATTGTTCTAAAAACTTGCCGAGTGAAAAACATTGTGGTGGTTTGAAGCTCACAAAAGTCGAGTGATATGTCTCCTTTACAAACAGTCTGCCCTTAGACAATGACCACTCACATCACACAACTAGTGTGATAAAAAAGGGCATATGTGACAGACTTTTGCTGGTTCTATTAATACTCTGTGTTTCTAGGGCTTTAAAGTAGAGCTTCACCTAATACATAACAGCGACTGAAGACAACACTACTTCAAAGTGTCTCTGGCATTGCTCCGACCCAAAATGTGGTGTTTATGTCAAGTGAAAGGATCAGAGGGGTTTGAAAAGCTCACTTTATTACTCATCACTTTGTCATCACTTTTGTTACCCAAAGCGCATTCACACCCCGGTTCAAAGACTTATCATCTGCAGCTGCTCAGGTCTGCACCACTTTTGGATGCATTATTGTTAGCTGCCTCTCTCGTTTTAATCAGGGCACGTGTTAGCAAGGGCCTTATGCTTTCAAACAGCTGTTGTCAACTTTGTGGGTAGGAGGTTCAACTTAATAATCCCCCAACGGCGATGCACACTCCCCAGCAAGGAACTTGGTTGTATTATGTGTCCTTTTGAACCTGTTTCGGGGTTTGGCCATTTTTTTGGATCAAACAAAACAGGAAATATGTAAAGCATGTGTTGACAAATGTTGGTTTTAAGCACTGCAATCACAAATCGAGTATGACACGCTAGAGGCATGCCATGTCACACGTCGGAGGCCACGGAGGCTCAAACTAATCCACCGTAATCAACAGTGGAGAGAATATGCGTTCCGTAAATTGGATCATTGATGACATTTAAGCACACGGTACACAAAAATAGCGTGACAATTGTGTTGTGTTGCTGCCAGAAGGGTTGAGTGACAGACAGGAAACAAATGTGATTGTTCTTATGTAACAAAACACAAATATTCAGGTCTCATCAGTGGGAATCAAACACTGACATTATTGGAAACGTTATATTATCGTTGTCTGTTTGCAAAGTGCACGGAAGTTCAACCTGTTGTTGTCTTTGTGCAGCCACTGACAAGTTACAACAAGATTAGACAGTAGCTTTCAGTGATGACCTTTAAGCAGTTGCATAGTTGCTTTTGATTTTGGCTTTTCGGAGTCTGTTTGGGTGTCATACACTGCAAAAAAAAATCAAATATGAGGTAATAATTGCTTAAATCAAGTGGTTTTTATCTTAATTTGAGGACATTCTGACTGTCTTAAAACAAGATCTGCCAATGGGAAAAAGCCGTTTAATCTTTTTTCAAGAAATGTTGCTTTATTTTCTCATTCCAAGGGAGACATTTCTTGTTGTTTTAAGGCATTATGTGCTTAGATTTTTGCCACATTTCTCCAAATTTGAGCCATTTCTGACTTGTTTTTAGTTTAGTTTATTTATTTTGAGGTTAGCGTTCTTTTTGGGTTGTAGGGGTCGGGGACAAAGCACCAAGCCAAACTCCACTCATGATAAAGAATGCCCTAAGCGGCATTAAGTTATTTTACCGAGATGACGCTTTCACCACAACAAGTAAAGACTGAATTAAAAATACAAAAAACTAAAAACATTCAGTACAACATTCTTTCAAATATTGACTAAGCATATTACAAATGCAGCATAGGCCTAGCTAAACCTTGATTCACATGTATATAAGTACCTGAATCATGTCATAGTTACAACATTGATAAATCAGTCTTTAGCAGTAGGTAGAACTAGATTCTGTAGCTGCAGCCTACGACCTCTCTCTCTCTACAGGGAAGTGATGTCATCTCTTAATCAACAAACTACTAACTCAAAGTGAACATATTAAATGCTGCTAAATAATAAACAAAAGAAATAGCTATTTGATGCGTAGCTTATCTGCTTTAAAAGGTGCCTTCCTAAACTGTCTGCTTTTTGTGAAGTGGTTCGAGCCCTTTTTCTTGCAACAGTTACAGTACGCTATGTTCCTCAATTGTGTAATAAGCCTGTGTCTTTTTACAGTGAGAAGACTCAACTCTCCACAGACATAACTTGAAACTTAGCTGAGTGATGTCAACTGCTTGTTTCTAATGTAAATAAAACAGTTTAATAACAAGCTATACCTATAAAGACAAAACAACGTCAACCGTGACGAGGGATAGAACTGTTTTAATGTAGATTAATGTAGATTTTATTTTTAAACAGTACTCAAAAGGTTTATAGGAGGTATTTCTATTTCCATCAAGACTATTGGTCCTCCCAATTGTCAATCCTTCTGGTGATACGTGCCCGTCAAATAAGACCAGAGTTTGGCTCAAAAAGTGGAGAGGGCAGTGCTTTCATAAAATTTGGGGAAATCCTCCTATGTACCTTTAAGTCAGTAAGTAATTATTGTTTTCTTAAATTTTTTATACAGCATGACATAAAATAAACAAGATACAAAAGTACAATTTGAAAATATCATTTGTAGTATCATTTGTTTTAAAAGTTTTATTATGGTCAAAACTATGCATCCTTGAATTAATTTAAAACTTAGTATTTCTGTATATCCCGCTAACCACTCAGTTTATGTCTGAATGACGAAGGAATGAATAAGCAGGTTTCTATTTCTCTCCTTAATCTTATGTGTTATTTTATTCACAAAATGTTAAGGTTAAATATTGCGACAGTAATTACACGTTTGAGACTTCCCGCTGTCATTTGATTTATCCCGTTCAAAAGTTTCAGGTCATGTTGGGTTATCATTTCGTGTCTATACTCCAAAGCAATCCAGTTCAACAGGTCATAGTCTTGCGTCAGCTTTAATTATGTTTTCGGTAGATGAATTTGGTCATAAATACGGGGATTAAGTTCTGTCCAAAGATCAAAAGGACAACCCTTCAGAATGCAGACTAAAGACACCACTTCCATTTAGGGATTTTTTTTTCTTCCGCAAAGCAAAATCGGAGATGCAAAAAGTGCCTCTACAGCTAAAGCATTCTCATATGATTCCTGTTATTGTAAATGGGGAAAATGGACGAGAAATGGATCATCTACAGTCTATTCTCAGTCATTGCAATTATGATGACTTCACATTTTTCTCACTAACAGATCCTTTTGAGGCTGAAACTCGAGCCAAATGAAACACAGTTCATGACAGGTTTTGTGCTAGTTCCACATTTGTTTTAACACAAAGCAAATAATTACAGCATAAGATTAATTTCATGAATAACAATGGGGATTTTATTGGGTTATATGAGCTTTCTCTTTCAGCAACTCGGGCTCTTTCATTATGCAGTTTTTTCTCCATCGCACACACACACACACACACACAGGAACACTATCACACACCCTCAGGCACATTACAGTGTAGGCAGCTGTTTCTCCGGCTAAGTGGGCTCTTCTGTGCAATAACTAACTGTGGGTTTTGTCATTTAAAACAATGGTCTCACTATGACAATTCCCTCAGCAAAAATGAAAGCTTCAGTGCCGTAATTATACCCATTTCAATGTGATAAAGGAAATTCAAAAACAAAGCTTTCAGAAAGTGCACTGGTTTCATATGATGCAAGTCGCAGAAAAAATGAGGAATTGGTATTTTTATATTGTGAAAGGGATTTGGAATTTGGAGTTAGTAAGTCTATTAATTATATCATTCATTGATTTAAGATTATTTTGTGGTGTACCAAAGGTTTTTCTTATATTTTCTCTCAAGTTTCATTTTGAACTGCTGTGACGACCCCAGTCTTGTCTGGTTTGTGTGTTGCTGCTGGCTTTTTCCTCCTTTCAGGATCCAGCCAATGGGAGAGCTGATTGGGACTGGCAGCACCTGAGATGGGTGGGACCGGCCACATTCAAAAGTGCAGTCAGGAAGTTGATGGAGCTCTCTCTCTCACCTGGCAGTAGCAGCCTTTTAAATAAATATTCTATTTTTGTACCTTCTTAAATATGTGTGGACTCCATTTTTGTCTGAACCTCGAGCCAGTTCGTGACACTGCTTTGAGTGGTTACTGAGACAATTTGTATAGCACAGTTCATACACAAGGCAATCATACAAGAAATTATAATAATAAATAATCACAATACTTTCTA